TAGATTTTAAATAAATATGCTACCGATTTCGAGGGCAGAAGACAGACTTATATCTGATCACCCACGTAATCGGTAGAGTTTTATTTGAAATCCGCGCCAAAATAAAGTTGTTGTTTTGCCAAATTTTAAATGCCAATTAATTCACAGGTATATATTCTCACGTAGTTTGTTTCGGACGCCGAGTGCGGGCCAAAAATTTGAGGCCACTGCTGTAACATATCCTTTCTCACGGCTATGACAATTATTTTATTCTTTGTGTTATGAATTTACTGACTTTTATATAGAAATTTTCATTACGGTTGTATTAAGTAGATTTTGTATAGCGTCACACAGTCTGTGATTTTTGCTGTTAAAAAACTTTTATAACCGCATTAAGATTTCTGCTGTTAAAAGTTTTTATAGCTACATAAAATATATTTCTGGCTTTATCGTTAGATTGCTACTATTTGTCTCAGAAAATATAACCGCACAGTCTTTTACACTAGATATTGTGCATTGCCGTTGCAAGATTCTTGACCTTACTTCTTGGAGTTAAATCATTGCATAATAGCGAGAAAATAGAGATATTCTTTCGGCTACCTTTTCTCGAATTTCTGCCTTTCATTATTAGCAAAACATTTGATTTCTCGATAATTAGCAACAGCTGATTCGGCAGAATGGTAGGTCTACAATGTGTTCATTTTACAGTCCAGTTTCTTTGCATAAAGGTGCGACCGTGACTTCGCTAATGTTCAGGTAGCAAAAAGATCTAATTTTGCAGTTCGCGCGATCACTGATCCGGATCAATCCATTCGTGATGGACTACAACAGAATGCGAATAGTAAACTACTATTTGCGATAAGCTTAATTCTCATTATAAGCTCACAAAAGGTGTAGTGATAAAATGACCAGCATTCAATTCTGCTTTGTGAATTTAGTTCACCAAAGGAGACATCACAAACATCGCTGTGCGGTATGGCAAGATAATAGCATTGTAATTGATTTTACCGGGTAATAGGCGATTTGAAATTAGTGCATATTTTTGCGCTTCTGTTGCACAAGTCAGTTTGAAATATTAAATCGTCTAATGTAAATAGATGATTCAGAATTCCAAAATGCTGAAGCCGTCTATATTAAAAATAAAAACTGTGAATTTATAACAAATTAGCGAACTGTTTTTAGAGAAATTTCGAGACCTACTGAATTAGCCTACGTTAGTAGTTTCCAAAGTAGGCATATGGGCGCCGGTTCCTTTGTTGAGAAGATCCTGCGTCATTATGATATGATGGTTTGCATATGATTTTAACCGAAAGGAATAATATCATGAGATTGCTGAGACAGATTTCTTAGATCAAGAATGCCTACGTTTGGCGCACAGTAATCGTTTTCTGATTTTTGCCATAAAACCTAACCAGCCAACCTGTGATGTTAAGCTTAACATTATGCTATGTTTGTCATGTGATAAAAACTGTTAAAAATATCTATATCCTGAATACTGACGTATTCTGTTGATATTGTCAGGTTTTTTGGAACAAGAAGCATGAAAATCAACTGCGGCCTTGCCAGGATTCGAACTGTGAATCTTCCAGTTTGCTAACTGAATTTAATCATTTAACATCATGAAAGATCGCACGGGAGGGAATGCGATAATTCATTATAACTGTGTGATTGCTTGATTTGAATTATTATACAGCAGTGCTTTATTTTGTACTATTATGTTTGTTATCCTATTGTTATACTCATTACAAAATTATATAATCATAATCATAGAGTTACTTTGTGGTAAAACTATTCAAGGTGTTAGAGAAGAATTTCTATGATAAAATGGATGCACAATGTCTGGTACTGTAAATCAAGGCTGTACTGCCGCCTAGGCCCATACTTCCCTCAGGTCTTATGGGGCCCTGGAATTGTCCTGTACTTTCTCATAATCCTCTTTTTTTTTTTTTTTTTTTTTTTTTTTTTTTTATTTATTTATAACAGGAAGGAAAGCGGAGTTTGGTTTAGTTGATTATGGCAAAGCACACTAAGGCTATCTACCTAAGGAGAGAAACGCCTTCGTGGAAGACATATGAAGGTAAACTGGCTCGCATACACGTTACACAAGGGGAAAACCACGAAAATGCCCATGCAGTCAGCCCGTTCGCCTGGAATCGAACTCATATCGGGACTACCAGTATTCAGCGATTTTACCTCTCTACCGGGCGCTAAAGTGGAGAGTTGAAGAATCTCGAAATAGCGCTATGGTTAGGACCTCAGAATGACATAATCGGGACTTGCAACAGTCATCTCTTCCTCGCACTGTCAGTGACGCTTATATATAAGCTCATGTGATAAAAACTGTTAAAAATATCTATATCCTGAATATTGACGTACTTTTATGTGAATTGAGAATGGAAACGAAATGCGCTTCCTAACACTTTAGCGCAATTTCACGCAGATTTTGATAATATATTCCATTTTTTTTTATTCATATGTGGAGACTAATATCTTTTGGCTCAGATACAAATACAGAAAAAGAGTAATCTCAATATTACTATGTCTTCTCGTTCCCTTCTCGTAACTGAAATAACTAATAACTAGCCATCCCTATCAAAGCGTCTCTAATTTGGGGAACAGAAAGGGGGGGAAGGATTTTATCTTTAGAAAAAATTACTTTATTCTAATCTCAGTCTAATAGCTGTATAACATCTCATTAAGACGTTTTTCAAGAACCAGAGGATTAATAACTTTTTAAGCGAGACTTCTGGAAGAAAGCGTATTAAAAATTAAAAGCAATAGGATAATTATAACGCACAACTTTAAAATACCAAGAGCATTAATTAAGAGAACTTGAAAATTTCTTTCCAAAAATGTTTTAGTCTGTACTTTAGGTTTTGGTAAAACTAAGAAGCCTGTTTAACTTGGAACATATAACATGCTGCACTTCCAGCAATATTTTTTGGATTGTACAATTCAGTAGATAGTCAATACATGCAAATTTTAATGCACATTAATACGTTGCTATTAATGGAATTTTATCAGTTAATTAGCTGACTTAACCATCACATTATTATCCAGGTTATATAAGTTACATTAATTCGATACCGTATGATATCTGCCCAAAATTATTTTCCGCTCAGATGAGCAAGGAAGTTTTGCATTTCGCGAGTACTTACAAAATAGACAGTTAGACGGTAAGAAATTGGTCAGTCCACTGAAATTTGTAGGAATTTTCATCCACGAAAAAAAAAAAAAAAAATTGTAAATTGTTATATACGTACGCTAAAAATTTTAAAATTTTCTAAAAATTTGTAATCTTGGTGTCATGAAATAAAATTCCCTAAGTGGAGAAAATAAAAGGGAATGGGAACTTCGTGTCTGGAAAAAATTTGTGCTTTTTTTTTCCTTCCCCCTCTTGAGTTTTTTAACTCGGCACTTTTAAAATCAAATTTCTTAGAGAGGAAACTTTCTTATAAGAGAACTTCTTATCTAAGTTATGATTTACTGCAGAACTTGTCACCGCATCTTCAGTGGCTTATATTACCTCTAGTGTATCTACCATAAATAGCATAAACTACTAAAGGTAGTAGATGTAGTAACAAAAGGAATTTCTACAAGCAAGTTATAACTAGCCGTAAAGACACTTTAACGTATCAAGCAGAATTTAATGTAGCATTGGAATTTTGTAGCATTAAAAATACTGAATATACCTGTAAAGAGGGAACTGTAAAATATCTGTAGAAAGGGAACTGTAATAAGGGTACCAATTCTCTTTTTACATGAATACCTATAAAAAGGAAATTGGTACAGAGGGCAGCCTGACATTGATTTGTTGAATAAATGCATTAATTGTTTATTGCATAAATAAGTGTTTAATGCATTTTCATTAAAATAGTTTAATAATTTTTTTAATAAAATTTTGCTCACTTCTACTGCCCTGTCCAGCTAACGTCTTGCGATTACATTTTTTTTACATTTTTCACACAGAGAGTCGAAGAATTTCCTTTTTACATAAACATATCTTCCCTTTTACTGTTACCGTCAATACAGTTATAGTGTCCTTTGATTTTTTGTTGGATCTTTAAATTCTTTTACCTTCTATTCTAAGTTTCGTCCTTTATTCTTTTACGTTAATTACTTTCAATGAATTTGTTATCTGAGAATTTATGAAAGACCATGGGAGAATGTCCTTAGGCTTCTTATTATTCTAACTTCAGGATGAAAATTTAAAACTGTTAATTTGGATCTAGTCAAATATTATATTTAATAGGTAAATAAAAAGTATTAATTATGCGTTGCTTTTCTGATATATGGCATTATGCCAAATCTCTTTTAAATGCATACCACTAATTGGGGAACAGACGTTTGCCAACAGGTATCAGATTCTTGGGATATCGCTGTAATCATGGTGAAGAGAAAACTTTTTGTATCTTTAGATGGCATGCATCCTTCTATCATTATGGGCTAAGGTTACTTTACACTTTAAAGGAGAAGTGTGGATCTGTACACTCAGATGTTTTTCAGCAAACTGCTAAATGAATATCCAGTGCCAAAGAAAATACACTGTCATAAACGGAAATGTAGAAAAACACTGTACGAACAATGATTTCTAGCTCATAATAAACTTATGATGAATACTTTACTGGCAGAAAATTTTATTTTAAACGGTCTATATAAAAATAAGGTTCTTTCTCCCTTTTCCTATGCATTTTGTCGAGACTTTCAGTAGAATTTTATACTATTTTAAATATTGAAAGTACGTGTTTAGGATCAATATTTAAGCAAATAAAGCTCTTTCAAAACATCCTGTTTATATACCAAAAGTAGTATATTTTGTTGCTGTAAAACGTTTTTGTGATATTTATGAATGTAAGATTATGGCATAATGTCATAATCTTACATTCATAAAATGTTTCACAATGTTATACATTGTGAAACATTTTTTTTTATTTTCACGTCTCCCATTATTTTTCTTATAAAAAGGATATACAGTGCATTTCTTTCGTTTATTTATTTAGTTTTGATTCATTCACTTTTAGGTACTTTCAAGATGAACTGGTCAACAATGATTTAAAGATATGTGATTTGTTGCCCAAATCGCAGCGTCCGATTGTACCCCATAGTCCAAGTACACCCCACAGCGTTACCAATCACACAATAATTGGAAAATCTCTCTCACCTGCATTACATCACGTAGAATCATCAAAGAACCTCTCTCATCATATCGTTGAGCCCATTACACTTACTAATCATTCTCTAAATAAAAGTATAAAGAATATTAAGTAAGTATATGAATAACCATAAGTTTATGATGTTTCATAATTTTGAGTGTGCAATGAAATTTTTTTTTAAAATTATTTTTTAACAAAAAAGGTTTGAGAATGTTGTTTACTGCTAAATTTTATTCTGAAACTGGAATTGCAAATTATTTCTAGAACTGTACGTATAAATTTTTACAAAGCATTGTACAATGAACATTTTGTGAGAAAATGTGTTTTCCAATAACAGAATCTTTATTCTGAATGTAACTATTTTTTTTTTTTTTTTTTTTTTTTTTTTTTTTTGATTTAACTCTTTTTATATTTATTTCAAAACGTATCAGCTTGTGATTTAGCTACTAGTTTCGAAATTATATTATATTAACATTGATTTTAACGTAAAAAATATACAGTTTCATGCACAAGAAACAAATTTAGTATTAAAATCGAAATTATGCAGGTTTAAATTATCTATCCCTATTCTATCTCTTAATGATTCCATTAATGGTAAAATGCCCCACTGCAATTTCTAATATTGTTTTTCTCTGTAGAGATGAAGTGATTTGGGAATGGGACTCAATTGTAGCTGATTTTAATAAATGGGGCTGTATTCATTTAGCTTATTGTTACTGAATTTAAAAATAATTAAAAAGGTTATAAGCAAATAATATTATGAGAATCTGGATATTGGAGTAATTATAAAAAGCGAGATTTATCATTGAAAGCATATTAAAAATTTTCTTTATGGACTTTTGAATATTAAATTATCTCTTCTTAACATCTTAAAAGCTTAAAATGACTCATGTTAGAATTATATAAAATTTTAGCAGTATTTAAGTAAATGTTACTAGCATAGTTTTTAAGAAAATATATTTCATTGGAAGTTTCACTTCTTAGAGTTGTTACAGCGGTGCAGTTCTTACTCTATATTTCAATACAAATTCCAGCAATAAATATAAAATGCCCATGTATATTTTCTAAGAAATTCAATGGTGCTTTGTTATTTATAAAAAAAAAATCATATTATAGCACAAATGAAACAATGTGGAGTAGTAGGTACAGCATTTTGTCTAGGGCCTCCAAAGTTAACTTTTTTTTTTTTTTTTTTTTTTTATCATGATCTGATCTAAAATCTTGGAACTTGGTCTTCTCACGTTATGTATTAAATACGGCTAGAAGTCCTGTTCCATACAATTCCATATTCTATAGAATTATTCTGTAGAATTCTATCATGTTCTATAGGAACCAAATTTTAGATTCCTGCATTATAGTTGAAGGAATTAAATAATGAAAAATCTGCATTAAATTTATGTATATTTCTCGCATTGTGATAAAACAACGGTACATAGAGCCATCGAATTTTGAATGACGTAATCCTACGGCGAATATGGGCATGTGGAAGCCCAAATTTGAAATTTGTTTTATTATCGATTTCATATTTTGTAAACCTTTAACGAATTTTTGATTAACAAACTCAAGGATTTCAAAGCGAGCAATGACAACGTTGTACAGAAAAACTATTTTTATCTCCAGCGCGTGAGACTGCCTATCGGAAATTCTAAAGATATGCTCAATTTAAAACTGTTTTGCGATATTGCTCTTGAACTGAATTTTATGGTTTAAGTGCGAAGAACGTGATATTTAATAAATGAAGGTAACAGGCAAAATATAAAAAAAAAAAAAAAAAAAACGCCCCTTTAAACGTAATTTAAAATCTGAAACCCTTCAGTTTTTTTTTAAATATTTCTTTATTTTGAATTTTTATTTTATTTGAATAATATATTGAGTCACTCCTTGTATTTTAAAATCTTTTGTTTCCTATTACTAAACAATTACGAGAGCCAATTTGAATATCTTGTGCGTGCTGTTGGTTTGAAGGGACTGACGCTGAAATTTCCATTTAGGTGATCTATTGTTCTTTTCATTCATGTATTCCTGAAGGTAGATAGTGTGAAATTCATGAAATAAACTAGCTAGCTTATTGAAAATTTCTGAATGTAGATACATAGATGAGGATTGGTTTCAGTCGTAGACTTTTCTTGTACTGTTTCTGACTGCTTTACAATCGAACAGTTCTATGTTTGTAACATTTACTGCTGTATTTTGGACATTATATGCTTTACCTTGTTTTTCCCCTCTCTGATCTATAAATGCTTTCTATACCTGAGTTGAAATTTCTTTCCCTGAGAACTGTATCAGTGAAGTAGCCAATCTATTTTGCTGAATGTCGTGATTGATAGTTTCTTCACAGTTAAATATTCGATGCATAATCTGCTTCTGATTTTGTGCGTTTAAGCTCGATTGAAAGGAAAGCAAGCCAAAATCGGTTCCGCACGGAAAACGTTAAGCACTTTTGGGTAATTTTTTTTTTTTTAAATCGTTGAGTATCTATTTAAAATTCTTTTTTTTTTTTTTTTTTTTTTTTACTTTTTAGTTAAATATTTATAATATTACTTATAATTTCAAAAACTGAAAAAATATTTCTCTTCATTTTCTAATTATTTTACTGATTCGCCTTTTTAGTGTAAACCTTCCAGAAAGTCCACCTGATTCAGGATCGGAACCTCCCTTGTCACCTGCACAATCAGGTACGTACTTGCAATATGTAGATCGTTTTAAAATGTCAGAGTTTGCTGTATATCATTTTATATTGCCAAACAATTTATTTTATTTATTTATTTTTTGATTAAGCTTTTTATTTTTACATGAAATTTTACGAATTTTGATAATAGAATAGACATGTATTTGGTGCAAAGTGGCAATATAGAGTTTAAATCACGTGATGAATTAAAACCTCAAATAATCGCTATTAGTACGTAGTCAAGCATTTCAAGCGTAGCGTGAAAGAAGTGATGACATGATCCAATACTTATAAACAGAGTTGGGTAAACTAGTTCATGACCATCCCTTTGACCTCATCATCAGCTGTAAAGTGTCATGACTGACAGAAAGACGCGCGATTTTTTCTTTCTTCCAGAAAAAGTTTGATTGTGTGAGCTTGAGTGTGTTCTTTTGAAGTACATAGTAACTCTAGAAGTCTGCAGTTGGTTATTTTCCGTTACATGGTAAATCTGCAGTGGGTCCCCCCCCCCATTCGACAAAGCGCAAAAATTGCACAGAAGAGTTGCCTTTTCTAAATATTTTTAAGTGGACCTAAAACATGCAGTAATGGGGAAGGGGACACATTTTTGGGGGCGGCAACTTAATATTATAGCAGTTAGTCATATGGATTATCGGAACAGAAAGAATGATTGGGATTTTTTGCGTTTTTGCAATGCCGTTTATGTTATCTGCCTAAGAGGAGGAATGCTTTAGTGATGGACGTAAAGTTTTGTACGAAGGGCTTAGAAATTGAGAACTTCCTCATACTTACGTTACACATAAGATAAACTATGGGAATACTCATGCATTTCCGATTTGATCCTAGTTCGAACTAGCAGCATTCAGTAGTTCTGGAGGTTACATAATTCAATGGTTCCATTCACTCACTGGTTAGGTGAAAAATCAAGAGATGCTGAATTGTCAGGGCCGTTCCTAGCAAGGGTGCAGCTCGTAAAAGTACCCGGGCAGTCAAGATCAGGCGCGGCCGGACTCTCGCGATACCTTGCCTAAATATTTTAAATTCATTGTAAGTACATGTCATATGCAAGTACGTTTTACACAATTTATCATATGTAAGTACTTAGTAGGTATAAAATAAAAATTTTATTAATCATTGAGCATTTTTTTTTTTTTTTTTTTAATTTGGAGGCGACAATCTTAGAAAAGTATGTGGGCAGCCAATGGCCTAGGAACGGCCCTGTCAATTGTTATACGAAGGTGAGTTAAGGAGAGAATTTCTTTTACACCACACAAAGTATTCAAGAAATCGCAGCGAGATTTCAACAGTTTCATGTTCTTGATAAGCTTTGTTTATTAAATCAAAACTTTGAATGAAAAGTACGAATGTCAATTAAATTCTGAGCACAGTGAAGAAAATAAGGAAGAATTGTTCATTTAGTGAGAAATACTTTAGTGTTATATTTCTGTTATTGCTTTGGAAAATGAAACATAAGTGGAAGGATGGTTGCTTTGAACTTTTGCAGCTTATTCTAAAATATAGCCTCCAGAATGCAGTTCCAAATATTACAAGGAATTTTTTCCACAAAAATTGGGTAGATTACTTTTTGGAAAAACCTTTATATTCGCAGCTATCATCATAATCATTATAATGAAATTTTATAGTTGTCTGTAATTTATACGAATCTTTTTGAAAAATACCGGTATACAGGACATTTCGTAACTGTGCATTGCTCTCTATAGGGCAGATTTTATATTAAAATATTTCAAGAATTTTTTAATGTTCTTACTCCTGTATCGATTTCAAAGAAAAGGATACTTTATTATCTTCATTTCAATTCATTTTTATTTTCTCTGATAGGTCTTGCATTTTTTATTGTTATTCAAGTAATTGGCTTTCTTGTTAGATATTCTTTACTTGTAATATGTAATTCGGTTTCTCTATTTTTCTTTTCCGACTGGGTACTTATGGCTTCGAAAATAGTAAAACTACACTCATGTCCATAAATTAAGGATAATGCAAAATCAGGCAAAGGAAGAGTTAAAAGCAAAACAAATTTGACTTATTTGTAAAGCTTATTTATTAAACAAAAGGTAAAGAGAGGAAAAAAAAAAAAAAAAAAGATGCTATATGTTTCATATTATTAAAAAAATTAGTGATTTTTTTTCTTCCCTGGAGCAAATTACAAAAAAAAAAAAAAAAAAAAACAACCTATTTACAAAAAACCAATATTACATGGTTGGTATGATTGTTAATACATTGTATGTCTCCCAGACGATGCAATACAGTCCGTACAACGCCTAGGCATGCTGAGTATCAAATTATCGATCTGATCTTGGGGAATATTACACCACTCAAAAAGCAATGCTCTCCGAAGTTCCGGTAGACATGTAGGAAGGAGGTTGACGGGCTGCAACTCGTCGGCCAAGCATGTCCCACACGTGCTCTACTGGATTCAAGTCCGGTGAGAATGCTGGCCAGTCCATACGGGTGATATCCTCCGATTGAAGGCATTCGCTTACGATGTTTGCACGGTGAGGACGGGGCGTTGTCATCCATAAACAAATTGTGCGCCATGGCGCCCCGAAACAAACGTACATGTTGTTCCAGAATGACGTCCCGATAGAATTTTGGCTTGTCATGGTTCCAATTTGAACATGAAGGTCAGTTCTGGAACCCAGAATAATTCCGCCCCAAACGAGCACTCCTGCACCACCGTGTAACAGCTTTAAATATTATTAAAATCTTGTAGTTTAATTTAAATAGATGAACATTAAGGTATTTGTGAATGGCAATATTTGAAATCAGGCTCGAGTGCCACGTGCGACTCTTGCACGAAGAATGTAATTTATTTTTAAATGTTAGTATTCTTTCTTCTTGTTTTGTATGTCTCTTTTTTGAGTGCCAAATAAAGTTTTTTCTGTGTTCCATCATTGGAGTTGCTTCAGATTGCCAAAGAAGTATCACAACCGTGACGGTGTCGTTAAATGATGTTTTCTTGGTAGTAACGGGTACCTGGAGCTCTCCATATGGAAGTCCGGTGAGAATCAGTCTGCAAGTTAAACCTAGACTCGTCGGAAAACATCACACAAGCCCACTGTTGCGGTGTCCACAATGCATGCTATCTACTCCAGGCTAACCGCAGGCGACAGTGAGTTACAGTAAGTGGAACGCATCTGACAGGTCTACGAGCATATAAACCAATCTGCCCTAAGCGTCTGTACACGGTCTGCCTTGAAATTGTCGTACCAGTGGCTGAAGAGACCTGACGAGACAGATCTGAGGCGGTGCTCCGCCTGTTTCTTTTGGCAGTAACTGCCAAATACCGGTCCTCATTCGGCGTTGTAACTCTGGGGCGATCTGTGCTGTAACATCTACTCACATTACCATCATCTTGGAATCGGTGCCAAAGCCTGGAGATGACACTCTGGGCAATTCCAAGTTCGTCTGATACTTCCAGTTGGGTACGCCCACATTCCGTGGTTGTTCCGTGGCCGATAATTCTACCACGTAAAAAAATTATCCAAATGCGTCCTTTGTGTCATAACTATTCGGTTATTGCACTGAAATGCTTATAAAGCGCCTGCGAACAATTTTACTTCTTTGCCTGTATTCCTTATATATCACTCTCTTACACTCTCGTCATTGTGACGTAGCATCGGTGTCATCTGGTTACTTCCTGAAATTTGCATATGATTCTTGAAGATGTGTGTAGTGATTTTACATGTGATATATTTACAGGGGTTGGACAAAAATATGGAAACACCTTTAAAAAACATGTTTCTTTGCTTAATATGGTGTAGGAAACCCGTTGGCATCCAAAACAGCTTGCAGTCTTCTCGGAATGGATAAATACAGTTCCTGTATGTTTGCCATGGGAATATTATACCATTCTTCCTGCAAAACGGTGGCAAGTTCAGATAACGATGTTGGCGGTGGATAATGAGAACGCACTTTCCGTTCCAATGTAGACCACAAAGGTTCGATAATATTCAGGTCTGGTGACTGTGGTGGCCAGGGAGATGGGACAACTCATCCTCGTGCTCAGAAAAACCAGTCCTGGACAATGTGAGCTGTGTGAACAGGGCTTTGTCGTCTTGGAAGACACCATCACCATCGGGGAACAAAGTTTGTACCATGGGATGAACTTGATCGGCCAAAATGTTCACATAAGTCTTGGCAGCCATGTGCCCTGACACAGTTATCATGGGGCTAGCAGAGAACCACGATATGGCTGCCCAAACCATAACAGAAGCCCTGCCATGTTTCACTCTTGGCAACAAGCGGTCTGTATTATAGGCTTAAGATGGCGTTCTCCAGACGTAAACTCGGCCAGAAGTGGGAAACAATGTGAAAGAAGACTCGTCAGACCATATTACTCGCTTCCACTGCTCTATAGTCCAGGCTTTATGACTTAAACACCACCTTTTCCTGTTACGGGCATTAGCATCACTGATGAGTGGCTTCTCAATTGCAGCACGGCCAGCAATTCCCTGTTTATGAAGCTTCCTTCTAATTGTTTTGGTACTCACAGGGTTCGGTAACACAACATTCATTTCAGCAGTAACTTTTGCAGCTGTGGTCTTCTTATTTTTCGTCACAATTGCCCTTAATGATCGTCTGTCACGATCACTCAGGACACACTTTCGTCCGCGCTGTGATTTAGCAGATGATGTTTTTCCTCCGCTTTCAAATATGCGGAATAAATCTTCGATACAGTACCTCTTGAAACACTAAACACCTCGGCTACCTTGCTTACGGAAGCACCTACCATACGTGCTCCAACAATTTGCTCCGTTCGAAGTCTGTTAACTCTGACATAATGCAATGACAACCTCACATAACAGAACTCCGACAACAACTGAACTGTTTAGCACATTTACGAAGTTGTATAGGTGGCGTCAGTAGTCAAAAACGCCAGCGCCACCTACATATTTCATTAAAATCAATCTTTCTTTTCAAACATGCATTTCACAAGGTGTTTCCATATTTTTGTCCATCCACTGTATTTTAAAGTTCGATTCCCGCGTGACTTCGAATTATCCTTAATTTATGGACATGAGTGTAAATTGGTACCCTTAGCATTTGAAACGGAGAGGTCTTTTTTTTTTTTTTTTTTTTTTTTTTTTTTTTTTTTTTTATTGGCGCAGTTGGGCCATACCCGCTACCCGCGCGTAGAACTTGGATATCCATTGGCTGAATGATGGATGCACAGTTTTGAAACAAAAGTAAAACGGAGATATTATTGTGAACTAGAACGCAACTCGCAGTGCTATTGAGCTTCAACGGAATTCTTTCTACCTCTTGCTATGCTGTAAAAAAAAAAAAAAGAAAAGAAAAGAAAAGTGCCATTCCACAAGGCTAGACAAAATAGAAAAATGCTATCCCTCAACCAAAAATGGAAACGTTGTTCCTTAACCAAAAGGCGAAACAATATGCGAGATGATCTAATATTGTCGCAAAAAATGATATTTTTCGGCGATAGAAATGTCGGTTAATAAGGAGGAAACACTGGCTTTTTCTTGAATATCATAACTGTATTGGACGAAAAAGAAGGGAAAAAATTAAGAATAAATAAATTATTGGAGGACCGCATAATAAAAGATCATTCCGGTTATCGGACGTCCGAATTTCGGTCTTTGTACATGTGTCAGAAGTATTTACTAACTAAAAAAGCTAATAGTTCGAATAATTTATTAAATTTTTAAAGTTTTACAAGTAGGATAAATTGTGCTAAAACTAAACTCAATGGCGCAACAGTACTAGTGGGCCACGGCCTGCAGTGCCCCGAAAAATATAAATTGTATTAAGTCAATATTTATTATATTTTTTAACGTTTTTTTTAAATTTAGTTTTAAGCTTTAAAACTCATTTTGGAATGTAATTTTGAGACTTAGACAAATGTTTTATTAATATTATTTTGTTACTAAATTTAATTATGATTTGCTTTTTAGTTTGTTTATTTATAATAAACTCTTTTTATAGATTTATTTCTGTAATAATGATTTATTGTTTTAGAAATTTGCTTGCATGGCAACGAAGATATTACAGTTTCTGAAAAAATGATGCAACCTTCAGGAGACTTGAAACAGTATATGAGTTATAATAACACACAACCATTAAAGCATTTATCAGAAACATCATTATCCTTAAGCCAGTCACTGCAGCTGTCTGTAAGTTTATTATAAAAAATTTCTCTCTTTTAATTTTAATTAAATACTTTTTTTTATTTAATTATAATTAAATATTTTTACTTATGCATACCCAGTTATGTTTTTATCTTATTTGGTACTCATTCAGGAGAGAGAGTTCTCTTTTATGTTATTTATTTTGGTCTGGTTCAGTTTATATGACGCATTTTTAATCTCCATTTGAAAATATTTTTAAAAAAAAATATTCTCATTGAAGCAGAATTCTTAAAATTTATGTTTGGAGCAGAAGAGCCCATTTACTAATAAATTTTCAAATTACTTTGACTCTTTATTCTCTAAAATAAGGACTGTACTTGCAATTGTAATTTTATTGTAAGTTTTATATATTTTGTTCTACAAAATCAGAAAAAATTCTTCCTTTTGACTATCAAAACCTAGTTTTAATCTATTAATGTAGGCAACAAAGTAAAGTTGTTAATGAATGTGAAAGCGATTTAGCATTAAAATATATTTATGTACAAATTTGCAAAATCTATTCTATTCAAAGTAAAGGTGTAGAGGCATTAGGTTATTTTAAACATCCCTTTTATGAGGATAAAGATCCCTTTATGAGGAAGAAGTCATTAAAATGTGATTTTTTCCTACCCAACATTTTTTCTTTCAGTTAATAACACATTCTTTTTCATTCTGAAGGATAACTTTTTATGTATGTGCATGTATATATCTGTCCTATTGATAAATGAAGCTAAATTATTTTCTAAAAGAAGTTTTTAAGAGTCCAGTTGAGTAAGTATTAGCTTTTGAATGGTTAAGAGAGTTCCAGTTTTAAAAATGAATCGAAAAATGTAGGCCTTCAGGTTACAATAATTTTGATCACAAGATGCATTATGCTAAAAATTAGTGAAACTTAAATTTCTGCATTTGCCCTGCAGGAAAAAAGAAAAATGTCACGAAGAAAGTATTTTGATTTAAAATCCCTCCTTCCCAAATCTTCATCCTCGTGTGATCAAAATTACTAAAGATACTGTTAGTTAAAATTGGGGGAAACCGTATGTACATATCTCCAAAGATCTCTATATACTTTTACATTGTTTCTCTAAATCCAGAAAAGTAATTTGATGGCTTCTTAAAATGCAAAGCTTCTTGAGATTATGATATGCGTAACCCTATAAATCTGCCCAGGGAACAACCTAATGACTAGAAATCTTTTTCACAGAGTTCTGGTATAAAAATATAAATTTCTGATATTTTTACCAATAATTGTATCTGATTTGACCACAATTATTCTAGCAGGGAAATCCTTCTTATTTGATTTGTTTTTCACTGGAATCATGTGCCTAGAACCAACCAATAAAGATATTTTTAGTCCTCCAGCCTTTTTTAGGTAACCAATCATAAGTTCATAAAATAAAAGTGAAGTTAAGGTTTAATTAAAATTAAACTAGCAGTTTTAATTTTTTAGACATTTGTTTCAGGAATTGACTTGCCATGTAAAACGGAATTGAGTGTATTTGTATTCTATTTTAATATTACTTTTATTCTGCCATAGTATTTATAATATTTTCAATTTCTACTGCTTAGTGGTTAATTTTAATATTTCTAATTTCTGCTTATTTATTTTAGAATCCACCACAAGCAGTGCAGGCACCTATACCTCCTCATTCAACTGTATCTCAAACTCTATCTGCTGTGCCAAGCCAAAGTGCATCAGTTGGATCTGTTCTTACTCACCTGCAGCACCATATTCCGACTTCACTCACATCAGGGCTTGGTTTACAACCACAGACACTTGGGCCACCAGCTCCCCATTTAAGTTCACTATATGATAGGTGAATATCAAGTTGCAGTCATAATTATATTTGTCATAAGTTATATTTAATATTAAAAATTATACTGATTTATGACTGATTATGGTATGAATGTTTTTTATGTAATTAACACTCCGTCGGGCGTGTCTCGAAACTTGCGGCATCAGGTGAGTCACATCTGTCAGATATATCTGTATTTTATGTGTTTTCTGGTGATCTGTATTAATTTAAATCTTATATTTTTATTCTTTTTAGGTCCAGGCTTTTACACCCAGACCTTTTTTAAAATTTTTTTAAAAATATTTTTACTTATTATTTACAATCACTATTACACAGGTTAAAATGCCATTTAAAAACACAATGAAACATGTTAATACAGTTGAAAAAAATTTTTAAAATATGGCAGTTGTTCACAAATGATTAATATTACATAAAAATACATAATATAAAATGACAAAATAAATCAGTTATACTTTAATTCGATTCTAAATTTAAGTGTGGTTTTCATTTGAACATTTCTGACACATCATTACTGCATGTTCCAAACAAAAATATTCAGCACATTTTATGCAGGAATATTGGGTCAATCTACTTGTCTTATTTGTTTGACATGTAGAGCACCTTTTGTGTTTAATTTGGTTATTGGGAACCTTTGCTTTTTTTTTTTCCTTCTTCAGCAGTTGGTCTGTAGGTTTGAAGTTTCATTTGCAAATCCTTCGATAAATTGGGTTTAGTCATGTGCCTAACAACTTCTTCATTGACTAATTCCTTCACCAGTATTTTCAAATACTCTGTCCTGTTCTGAACAGTATTCTGATTTTCCAAAAATACAACTAGTCCGTTTATAGCTGAAATATTTAGCATTGAATAAAATACTACCATCGGCCATCTTCTTGTATTGCAAGCGCAATTATAAGTTCCACGCATCTTATCCAGAGCATCAACACTGCGTTTTTGTATTATTATAAAATGTGATTATATCTGGCTTTTTTTCATCTCCAGTGTCTGCATCTATAGCATCATCAAAGTCGATACTTGATACAAGCAAAACATTTTTGCCTTTTTTCTGTACGTATGAAACTAATGTGCAGTTTTTAAAAAAAAACAAATAAGCTTGAATGTACTTCTTTTCCTTTAGATTTCACAAAACAGGGAGGTATTTCTTTTTTATTAGTATTGTTCCAACGTAAGAAAGTTTTTTATCTTTTAGGGCTTTTACAACATCAACAGAGGTAAACCAATTATCTGCAGTGATATTGCGACCATTGTTGACAATTGGTTCCAATAATCGCAAAACAACATCTAATGGGGAATTACTGACGCTAAATGGACCTTCGGGCTGTTTCCCAGCATATATTTCTAAATTCAATGTATGAAGCATTTTAGCATCAACTGCTGCAAAAATTTTAATGCCATATTTATTTGGTTTTGATTGAATGTATTGACAAAAAGGGCATCTTTCTCTAAAACCTTCTAATTTCTCATCTATCATAACATTTGTTCCACGCAATAATTACGCATACATTTTCCCACAAATTTCTCAAAAATTTTTCTAATAGGTGCTAATTTATCTGTTTTCCTTCTCTCGTTCCTCGTCTCTTTATCATCAAATCTACAGCTTCTTAGAAGAAATTTAAATAGCTTCAGACTCATTACCGTTCTAAACATCTCAATACCCATTCCATCAGTAGACCACAGTAGTTCTTCCAAAATTTGTTGATTACTTCGCAAAATGCCTGCTGATAAATGTAAACCTATAAATGCTTTTATTTCAATGATATCTGTTAGTCTTGCATCTCTTTCTCTACTAAATAGATCAGAAATTGTAGAAATGTATTTGTTAGTGTATTTGACAATTATTTCCAATATTTCATCAGAAAAAAAAAAAAAAAAAACAGTTCCAAGAGTCGTATATAGTTTTTATAACTTTCGCATTTCCGATTACTCCAGGTAATTTTATGGTAATATTCTGCGATCTAACTGTGACATTTTTTCTTCCGGGCGATTTTGCCCATTTAGTGCTTTTGTCTTTTCCTACATAAAAATCACCATTGTTAGCATCATCATCAAGTTCTGATTCATTATAATCACTTTCAATGCTTTCAGAATCCACTTCAAATATTTCTAAAATATCCACTTCTTCATCATATTCTTCAGCATTTAATTCCTCATTTCCATCACTAAACAGATTATTATGGACTAATTCAAGGTCTTTTTGATTATTCAAATCTAAAAAAGCATTTAGCACTCATCATGGGAATATAAATAAATAAAAAATCTATTAGAAATCTCGATACTTCCATAAAGCTTCAGGAGACAAACATTATCGGACACGTGTATCTGACAGATACAAATTTTCAAATAAGCTTAAAAACAGGAAATACTCATACACTGAACTGGTCGTTACTGCATTCCAAAGGAGGAATTGGCCAGATGGACAAATACTGATTAGGTCAAGGTTGTGAGAAGAAGTTTAAGGGAACAAAAACAGAGATTTTGACACACCTGTATCTGTCAGATCAATGCACCTGATGGAGTGTTAATGAAAATGGTGCACACATTTTTATCTTGCTGTATATAATTAATTTAATTAGTTCTTTAATAATAAAAACTTTATAAACCGTTTGCATTCCATTATAATTTTAATTGTAAATTATCAGAATTAATATTTCTTAAATTTGACCACAAAGATAGAGAAATAAGTTATTATTTAGCTATAAAAATGCTAAATTTTATGGAAATAGTTAAATGAAAAGGAATTATGTAAATATATAACAGAGATATCTCATAAGTTGTTCTGAAAAGTAATTTGTTAAATAAGATAAAATTTATAATTTGAATTTTTAATATCAAAGATGGGCATGTTATGGCAGCAAGCCCAAATATGATACCAAAAAATCATTTTATTTTCAAAAGAAGAATATATGAATATATTATTATGATGTTGTACAGAGTGGGACTTGACTAAAATGAATAATGATTGCACGTTATTTTTATAGGTATTATTTTATGTAAATCATCATTGCTTTAGCATAATGAGCAATTAAAAAGAGATATTTGCTGGTGCTGTGGTGTTCCCCCCCCCCAAAAAAAAAAGAAAATTAGTTGTACATATAAAATAATGTTTTCTTCTTTTGTTTTTGTAACCAAAAAAAAAAAAAAAAAAAAGGAAAATTCTGTTGAAATTAGAATTTTTTCTGTTCTGTCTTCAAAATGATTAACAAACACTTTAATGCATTAAGTTTATATAGAACTTCATATTTATTCATTGCTTTTATTTTGTCTTAAAGAAGTTTTATTTTTCTTCATAATGAATCTGCATATCTTAAACATGATAGTTATATTAACTGCTGTTTACTGAAAATATATTAATACATTTTATCATAATTGCCACTACTCCAGCCTAACTCATTAAAACCTTTCTGTTTTGCTTTAGTTCATAAAAAAGTTCAAACTACATACATCATAAATCACTCTTCAAGTTTTTGTTGCTCTCTACTATTTCAACAGATTTTTTAACTGTATATTCTTTTTTAGCAATGAAGATTTTCTGTGTGATAACTTGGAGAGCAACAACACTAACCACAAAAAGCGTAAGCTCACGGAAAATCACAAAAATGTGGTTAATAACAACATGCTCAATGGGATGATGAATGTTAAACAAGAAGCAGGTAATTTAATTTCAAAATTTAGTAATGTATTTTTAGTCCTAAAGATTTCTGTGTTTAGTGAAGACAATATTCATATCATAGGTTTAAGAGTACTAGCAAAAAGTTTCAAAATGAGATGTTCTGCATTGTTAGGAGTCTGAAGCTAAATAAATTTAGTGGTTGTATTTTAAATACAGAAATTTTAAATTATTTTCTATTTTTGAATTGTAGTTATCACCTTTATATGCTGTTTATCGAATTGTTTCTGTCCTTTTTAAAGAAGACTGAATACTGAGAAGTTAGCTGTTTAATAGAAAATTATGTAAAATTTAAATATGTATTTAATATGAAAAAATAAGAGCTGTTAGCGTTTTTGTGTCTTTTGCTACTGTCTTCCTGTGGCAGTCATGACTAATACATAAAACATAAATGCGTCATCTAGTGTATCTAGACCATCCAGGTATGCTTTATCATGCAATGAGAATAAATTTTGTCATTAACCCTGGGGCTGCTCAATTTTTTTATCAAAATTGCTTCAAAAATTGCCTATTTTTTAATTACATATTTCAAATCTACATTACTTTGAGAGTTAAAATGTACTACACATTTTTGTACATTTTTAATATAGATTTTATGTGTAAGAACAGGCTTTCATGAAAAATAAATTTTGAGAGTAATAATATTAAGACAAAAATCTCTGAGAATAAATCTTGATTAATTTATGATTTACTTTATACATATGCTTTTACTACAAATGTTTTTACTTAATACAGATACTTTTACTTTCAAATGAATTTGAATATTCAATATTTACACGAATTATAACAGCACAATTTTAGTAAAACGATCATGCTAATTTTGTTATTTTATGAATTTTACTTTAATAAACAATAATATTAGTATAATTTTAATTGGAAATTCATTTGATAACTTATTAATTTTAGGGCCTAACTAAATAAAAATGAATTTCATTTTTTTCATTTAAGTTGAAATAAAAATGGATTGTATATGCAGGCAAGTAAAAAAATTTCATTGGTTTTAGGAGGGAGAAAGTATGTTTCGTATTTTGTTTTGTGAAAATAAAATATTTAAATTTTTGTAAACTTAGAAGTATTTGTTAAAACAAAAATTAAAATATAAAAATAAATATCAAAAATAAAAAAAATAAAAATGTCCTAACTTGCATAACAGTAAATATATATTTGGTTCTCAGAAGAAAAAAAATTCAGTTAATGTCTTGTAAAGGATGCAAAGGGAGATGCATCATATTCTGGAATCGTGACCTAAAGCGAGATGCATTACATCTTGGAATTATGACCTAACTCCCAAATTCTTACTTAAATTTCTTCTTCACAATAAACAAGCATAAATATATGGCAGAAAGAATGGAAGCAAGCTTTTCAAGAAAACTAGGTGTTTGGTTTTATCTCTGAAGTCTAAAACATGGAGTGTACCCAAACCTTTTTTTCTTAATCTTCTACATTATGGAGCATGATTTCTTTCCGTAGTTCTTCCAAATCAAGCATTTTGTGTTTTTATTTTTTTCCATGTAAATGAAATGTCTTGTATGTGACTATTAGGAAATTATATCTTCAAAACAGTTTTGAATTAGTTATCTCAAATTATTAAAACATCCAGATAGATTCTAGTGTCCAAATCATTTTCTCTGTTGTGTATGTCTAAAAAGCTAAAATAATGAATGCCAATTCATATGTGTTTTCATTGTTTTGATTTTTATTTTTTAAATCGTAGGTGGAATCTCACCTGAACCGCATACAAATACCCCTGTTCTTTCAACTACTGATGATGAATATAGTTTTGATTTTAGTGGACCTGATGGATCTGGGATGTTTCTAGAATCTGCATATCAGTGTATTAGATTTCAGCCATTTCAACAAAATACATGGGCTATACTTTGTGATCACACATTAAAAGAATTGTAAGCAATCAAAAATATCTTTTCTTTTGAACAATAAATTAAATGATAAAATTCTGTTGATCAGTAATTTTTTAACCATAACTCTATTGCAGACCACCTCCAAACTACAGGGTTGATGCTGATAAAGGATTCAATTTCAGTAATGCTGATGATGCTTTTGTTTGTCAGAAAAAGAATCATTTCCAAGTTACTGTTCATATTCAACCTATTGGTGAACCTCACTATGTGAAGACACCTGATGGAGTGAAAAAAATTGATCATTTCTACCTGCATTTTAATGGCGTCAAGGTATTTTTTTCCCTTAGAATGTATGGTACATGTTAGCAATAACTGCTGAATTCTTTTAAATACATAAGCAAACTTTCACCCAAGATAATTAACAATTGAAGATGAAAATGAAAGTTCAGAATTTATTAACCAAAACCTTTTTGTAAATTAAAATAGATCAGAAAAATTCTAAAAAACTTCTAAAAGACCAATATTATTAATTTTATTTCATAATTTGAATTTTTCCAATGTTATTAATTTGATTTAAATGTTGTTCAGACTACTGTTTTAATGCATATAAGTATGTAGACCTATTGTTGATTTGACTGCAGGCTAAAATTGAGTTTTAAGTCATTTGTCTTAAAATAGCATGCAGTTATAATGTATTCATAATGTGTATTGATATTTTGTAATAGGGAAGTTAAATTTATTTATTATTTTCAGGTAATTTTCTGTTGAAATTATATATATGTATTTTAAGTAACTAATTACCCAAGCATTCAAATTCATAACAAATGTGTTCAAAAATAAATAATATTTCAATTAAAAATTTAGTCTCTTATGTATTTATGAATGAAATCAATTGACAATTTTGAAACTTGCCTTGATTTCAAAACAAAATATTGCAGAAAGTCTTCCAGTCTTAAAGGTGACACTTATGGCAGCATAATAATAAACTACTGCATATTTTATTTTAAGCACATTTTAAAATACAGTTTGTTACAAATTTTGAGTCCCAGAGTCTTAAGTTGGAACTACAATATTGTGTCTCATGAATGTTAGTTTAAATTGACTCTTGTAGCTTTCAAAATGTTAAATAGCTTTCATTCAGTTTTTTAATCATATTTAAATGTAACCTTTTATTATTGAAAGAAATAAAATGATATTATCTAAATGTTTAGCAGCTTTATAATGCATACATAAAATGAATTGTTTCCTAATTTCATTGCTAATGCAGCCTCTACTCTCCCCATCTAATAAACAACTTTTCTATTTAAAAAATCTATATGAAATGTAAATAGTGAGTAACATGTTATGAAACATGTTATTAAAATAGAATAATGTAACATGTTATTGTAACATGTTATGAACATGTTATGAAACATGTTATGAAAATAGAATAAAAAAGTATATTTTCTTATCCCTTTTTTTTAATGTATATGATCTTCCACTTGTAAATAACTTTTTATTAACACTAGATTGCACAAGGAAGTCATTTTGACTGCTTTTTAATTTCAATTAAAAAAAACAATTATGTATATAATGACACCATTTCTTAGAATTTTGTGACTTTTTGTACATATAAATGCGTTTATAAATAATTGTAATTATCCCCTCTTCTTTCTTTCCAGTATATATATGTGTTATACCTATATTGCCCAAAAGCAGTCATTTTGGAAAATTTTAAATAATCAAATGACTCTTATTATTGAATTGAGTAAATTTCTTATATAACCAGTTCAGCTCTGTATTGAAATAAGTTTTAATTTTTTTTTTCGATTACCGTCATATGATAACATACAAGTATGTGATAATTTGTCGATTTGGGTCTATAGTACTTTATTTGAATATCAGTGAACACGTCGTTCTGAAACTTGTCGAGCCATATACAAGCTGTGGAAGAAATATAAGACCGATAACGTTTTTACTAGCATGCCACTCGCGACAAAACTATTGGGAAAAAAAAAAAAAAAAAACTCTAGTTGGAACTTTTAGAGGAAACAAAAGAGAACTACCCAAATCAGCCAAACAAACGAAGGATAACATGCCTCGTTTTTCCACTCTGTTATATAAATCAGAGAATTGTGTTCTTACAATATATAAAAGCAAACCACATAAAAGAATAGCTGTTCTAAGCATAAATTTGTGAAAATTGATAAAAGTAAGAAAAAAATGTTACCAGAATCTATTCAACTTTATAACAGCACAAAATTTGGAGTTGATATGACTGATCAAATAGCCAGAAAACATACAGTAAAAGCTAGTTCTCGTAAATGGCTCCTCCAAAAATTTTTCAATATTTTAGATTTGGTTGTTGTAAATGCTTGTATCCTTTACAAAGAAACGACAGGAATGCAAATACAACAAAAAGAGTTCTTGTTTCAATTAGAACAGCTTTCCACTGAATACAGAGCTGCAAGACAGAAAAAGTCATCGGAACATGAAGACCCACAAAGATCAACTGCAACATCATCAAATGCCACCCATTGTAACAAAGGCAAAATTTGTCAAGTATGTCTTTTCCAGAACAACAAAATAAATAATATATGCGAAAAATATCAGAAGTATGTTTGCGGAAGATGTACACATAAAAAGATTTCCACTTTCATTTGCAAAAAAAGTACAAATAATAATGCATATATTATTTTTTTTCAAGTGAAGTAATTTTTTTATTGTTAATATTTACTAATAGCTTGCTATATAACTGTAAATAATATAAAAAATATTAAAAATTAATTTTAAACAAATTTCTTTACACATTAGTTATTCTTTTACAATGCAGTGATTTTGACTGCTTTGGGGCAATATAGGTATATACTAAGTTTCAGTCTTTTTAGTATTAATAACCTTGTCTTCATTTATCTGTTTATAATTAGTAATGTTTCAGTATAGAATTTCTAAATCAACTAATACTGCTGTAAAAAAATAAGAGTATTCAAAAATTTCTACTCCTTGAGATAAACTCTCTTAAATTAAGGTAAATAAGAAGTTTCTTTTGTTCTGAGTTTGGGTATTAATTTTCCACAGGTTGAGTCTCCAAGTCAAACAATCAAAGTTGAACAATCACAGTCTGATAGAAGTAAAAAACCTTTTCATCCTGTTCCGTAAGTTTAATATTCCTATTTTTGTGTAAAAGCTTATAATTTTTTAATATATAATTTTGTATCAGCTCTTAAAGAAATTAACATTTTTTAAATGATGAAAATTTTTTATATTTTTATGAATTATCTGTGTGTTTGGTTTACAATAGCTAGCAAAACAAATATCAGATTAACGATTAAGAACCTGGCTGTCGTTTTACATAACTGCTAAATGTAATTGCAGTAAGTCAACTTTCATCAATAATCACTATGGCAGGCAGAATCTGAGAATGAATATTGCCTCTGTCTGAAGTTGCCAGTGCTTTCTTTCTGTACTTTGATTTTCACTTCTTGTTTAAACCAGAATTTGCATTTTCTGGTAGAGTTAACAGAAATATAAAAATGCAAGAACGATTTCCTTAGAAGCAATGTGCCAATTAAAATAGAAGCTACAAGTCAGTGATATAGCAGAAAAACAACATATTAACCATAGTCCAGAATTTACATTAAAGTATAAAATATGAGAACAAAGCTTTTCTTTTATGCTTTTATAACTATAAGTAATTGTTTTTGACTTTATATCAATAAATGTTTTGTTAACGTGGTGTTATAATAATTTAATAATTCTTTATTAGATTTGTAATGATGTTAAAAATGCATTTATAACGTTTTCAATCTCAAAGAAATTTCAGAATTCTGTGGAGGCAAGTATCAGGAAAATTATTTTGCATCTGCTTTGTTAGAGGAAAAATTACATTTTGCATTTTTGGCTGGTATCTATTTTAGTACAATAAATGAGTATATTAATATTTTAGCTTTTTCTTCGTGCATAGTTTCCTGTTTAAATTTCATTTTCCATTTATTGTGTTGATGAAATTTCCTTATGAATATTTTTGCAGAATTTTCTAAAACTTGAAGAATATTTTTTTATTTAGTATCTGTTTGGAAATTATATTTTTTCACTTAAATTCTGTATAATGTGATAACAGTTTCATGCTTTGTGGTTTATTTTTGTAGTTTGGAACTGACTCCTGACCAAGTAACCAAGACTACAGTTGGACGTTTACATTTCAGTGAAACAACTTCCAATAATATGAGAAAAAAAGGCAAACCAAATCCTGATCAGAGGTATTTCTATCTTGTAGTCAGCTTATGTGTTGCTTCAGGAGATTCAAATTATACTGTAATTGCTCATGCATCAGAAAGGATCATAGTCAGGGTAAGATTCTTTTGCTCATTTATATAGAATAAATAGATTATCTGTACATTGGGTTATGTGTTATTTTCAATCTAGTTTATGTCTGTGTAGTGCTTTCAAATGCTTAAAGAGAGTTTTTTTCAGCATTTAGTTTGCATTAAACAAATAAATAATATGCATGTGAAAATGCTCAAAATAATAACTATAATAAATAGTTATTATTTTGAAGACAGATATTGAAAGTAAAATATAAAACCATAGCTGTTTTTAATTTGTAAAAATTTGTTTTTTAGAAATAAGATGTATTATTCAAAAAGAAAATAAATGTAAAATCATGTTTAAAAAATAAATGTGTAAAGTGATGATTTGGGAATAATGAAATTTGCAATGATTTATTGCATTGTAATAACTTTATTGCATAAATGGATGACACTTAACTCTTTCACATCGAAGTCGCCCCAAACGCCAGACCATTCAGACGTCGGCAGGTCACCCGAGCACCTGAATAATTTCTTACCTAGTGCTTTCCTCCATCACATTATTGCATTGCTCATTGCTTTCAGGAGTTATCACTCTTTTGAAGCAACTAAAAGTAGTTTTGTTATTTTAATGGACCTTCTTTTTCCTTTGTTTATTGTCAATGTTTAGCTATTGATGCCCAAAGTTGCAATCCCAAGGGAGAACTTCATGCAGGGTGAAAGCGTCCAAGAAAGAAGTTGTCGCTTTACTTAAGTACGGTATTGTTAGCGCTGTAGTATTAAATTTGTCATGGGGAAAGGATTAGCCTTCCGAGAAAAATTCGTATACACGGGTGTTTTTGATGTTTGAGGAAAAGAGACTTGATCCTCTCTCTATGCAAAAGAATTAAAGTTAGACAGAGCCATAGATTTACCACATATATCTTATTTCTTGATAAAGCAGTTCTATAGATGCAATATCTAATTCACATCATTTTGATTGCAATATGCATCTCACAAATTTTGACAGCTTAGTCAATCTTCAGACAATTGACAATACAGAGTAAAGAGCACTGTGTGTTAGAAAGAGCAAAGGCAATGTGGAAAAAGGGGCTATGTGTTTAGAAAAAGCATAAGAGTCAAGGTTTCATCTCAAGAAAGTGATGAGCTATAATATACCTGTATTGCTGTGTGTTATGTAATATGGCATGAAACGAATTAATTTTGAAATTGCACATTGCAGAAAAAGTTATTATAAGCAATTATTATTTTTACAATAGGGAAGACTACCCTAATTAAAAAGAAGAATATGAGAGCTATTGGCTAGTTTGAGCTATAATTTTGATTTATATATTTTTTATCTTACATATATATGTAATAACCTGGCTGAGTGGCATAGTAGATGGGTGTATAAAGAATGAAAAACTTGTAGATGTGGCTGAATTCAGTTAATTTTTGATTTATTTATGGTTGACATGAATTTTTGATTAATCAAACACAAGTAATAGGGATGCAACAGTGCCCTGTTCTTAAAAGAATTTTCACGTCGATGCTGATAGACTTGTGAAGTATATTTTTTCTAAGTTTGCAAGAACGAAGTAATGTGGAAAAGTGATGCATTCAGAAGAAGCATGGGGAAAAATTAAAAATTTTCCGGTTCTTAATAGAAATCTTACTCAGTTATTGGATAAAAGGTGTCTGCATTGCAGTCATACATAAGATCTTATAGTATGGATTAATTTTGAAATGACACAGCTTAGATTGATGTATTATAAATAATTATTATTTTGAGAAAAGAAATTGAAAGTGCCCAAATTAAAATGAGTATTATTAGGAGATATTATTGCCAATTAAAATTATAAATTTGCTTTCATATTTTTTACTTCACAGATACTCCCCTTCCAAAGAGAAAGGCTAAGTAACAGAGTAAGCCATTTTAAGAGAACAAAATAAAATAATTATAATATGCAGAACATAAATTGTAAAATTTTGAACTAAATTTTTAAATAATACAGAATATAAAATTTAAGCACTATAGCTTTGAGAACAAGTGCAGATTTTAGAGTCCTACTGAGATTTGAGTCCGAACTGGAAAAAAGTCTTGTTTCACATAAGTAATGTTTAGAATCCCATCAATTATCAATACAATTTTAAAAAATCCTTGATTCTGGAAAGTCCACATGATGATTATGATTTTTCAAAATTTTGTGCAGAAATCACAAATGCAAAATATTTTATACCCATCATATATTTTTATTTATTATAGCAAATCTCAAAATTTTATAACACTAACTTTTATCATTTATAATTTGTATTTTAATGTTATAAATATTACAATATTCTTATTGAAATTATGGTTTCTTTGTTGTTATTTCATTTGTTATTCTTTATTTTACACAAAACTGGAAGACCCTACAACTTTCTTCAATTATTAACACATCCATCTGTTGGGCATATTCAGTTCAACTGACTGATACACCAGTGTTAATGGATGGCCTGATAATTATGTATAAAAGCCTCCATTCCTTAGATAAAGTAACTGGCTTTCGTAAACTGCTCTTAAACATTCTTTCATATATATATATATATATTAAAATGAAATGAAAATAAATCCAACTAAAATGAAGCCACATTCCATTATATAATAATAATAATAATAATAATACACTGTATGAAAAAATTTAATTTTTTCATACAGTATTATTATTACAAAAATATTATTATTTAATCTGTGATAAGGTCACATAAAGGAAGAAGAAACTGAAGATTAATATGGACAAGGATGTCTCGAGAACAGAAAATGAATATTTTTATTTAACTTCCGAATACGTTTTCAATAGTTGTAAAGTTGAATTAATTGGTTTAAAAATAAAATTAATGTTGGCATTGTTTCAAATGCAGGCTTGAGAGCCACATATTGCTCTCACACGTAAAATGTAGAGAATTTGAATTTGTTTAAAATAGGCTGGTTTTTCTCTTGTTGATGGTATGTAGCCATTTTTGGGGGGCGTTCAATAAAATTTTTATGCGTGTTGCATCATTAGAGTTTTCATTGGAATTCAACACCATGCTGTTGAACCATTAACACTACACCACAAATTATTATCATTACAAAAATTATTTTTATTATATTTGAATTATTTTTGTTAAAAATGTAATTTTTTTTTTCATAAGATGAGAGCCTTCACATTTATCTCATATGAGGATAGTGAAAGGAACAATTATGCAGCATTAAAAATAATTACCTCTGTTTTTGAACGAATGCTCCCTTAACATACTTCTTTATATACAGTTATTTATTAATAATAACATTCAATTATCATGATTCCAAATTACTTTTCTGTATTAATTTCACTTTTTAATTGCATTACCCATATAAATTTAATTACAATAATCCAATTTTTTAAAATTATTACTATTTCTGTATTCATTATAACCATGTTCAATATCAAAACATTTTATATTTGCTACATCAGTGGTCTTAGACTCAAACAGCATGTGGGATGAAAGCTTGATCTGAAAGCAAGTGACAAACCAGAAAAATTTTTAATTAAATTATTTTAAAAATTTTATAAAAGAAAAAAAAATAAATAAAACATAAATATAAATAAATAAATAAAATAAAAAACTTATATTTTAATTACTGTAGTTTTATCAAAACGTGTATAAACAATAATAAGAACACAAGGGAAAACTAAATTTACTGAAAAGTAGAAAATTCTTCTACATTACTGCAGTCACGTAGCCTGCTGTACAAGCATACAGTGACCAAGCCCTAACTTATTCATTCTATCTTTTATCCTTTGGTAGTAGTTGCAACTGTAAGCTCAATCTATATCTTTGTCTCTTAAAAGTTTAAGAACCTTATTTGTAACATACACATAACTAAAATGCACTTGTAGGCCACATAAATGCTTCGAGCGCCACGAATGCCACTGTGCCATGTTATACTCAAAGCACAACTCCTATCATTTTCTATACCAACATTCAAAACTGAACTGAAAACATTTAACTGAAACACATTAGTGTAAAATTTAAAACACATTGCATCAGCATCAGTTTATTTCAGTGAAGTGACAGTAATACACTTTGAATGAAAAAAATTAATTACACATAAACATCTGTAATACCGTAAATTAAAATGAAGAAATGAGAAATGGATGAAAAGTATTTCTTGCAGTTGAACATGTGCTGAGCAGTGGTGTAACTAGAACTCTAGGGCCACTATGGGGGGGGATTATTGGCCCAGTAATAAATTTACGTACTAACCCCCCCCAAAATATCGAGGTTTCGAGGTTTCCTGGAGCCAACATTTTGATAATGCTTTTTTAAGATTAGGAGTAATATTTAAAAATCTGATATGGACCACATATATCGCCTATTAAATTATACGCACTTTTGCTGTATTTCATTTAAAGTTATTTCCTCAAATAATTTTAACTTAATTATCCGATCCCTCAAGGCAAGTTGAGAATGACATCAAAAACTGCAAATTTTGAATTAAATATCCCAGTCAGTTTTTGCTGTACGGGAGTCAAACTTCTTCTAATTTATTTTTCATAATGAGTACAAAACTTTTCCAAGTATAAGTATAGAAACCGGGAAACCGAATGAAAAGTTCAATTTCATTATTTGTTGAAAATTATTATTATTATTTTTTTTTATTTGACATAGCCAAAACATTTTTCATCATTTAAAACACTTCTGTAATGGGAAGATATGATTACGACCAACAATTGTGACCGGGTAAGGGGGTTGATATATATGTAGATGTACACTGCCAATTGCAATAGAAAAGAGAAGTTCACAGATGGATATTATAGCAGCCCTATGTGCAAAATTTTAACACTCTACGGCTAATCGTTTTTGAATTATGCAATGCATATATATGTATGTGCATACATACGAACATACAAGTGTTGAGAAAAAAATCCCTTTTGAATCCATTTTGGAAAAAAGAGTCCTTTATTTTGTATGTACGTACAGACGTAATACCTCCTCCACCACAGAATGAATTCGGTTTGGTTTATGCTATTACTTCAAATCCTCGAGAGCCACTTTCCT